AGCTCATCATCTATTAATGCTTCTCTGACACGGAATATGCCTCCTCCCTCGCCTCCCCAGCATCCGAACCAACAGCCTCCTCCACATCCACACCAAATGGGTCACTACAGTGGTCCGCCCGCACCGAGAGCCCCGCCGGTGAGTCTTGGTCCTCCAGGCGCTTTTCCTTCCGCTCGTGAGCTTCCTGCGCTCAACTCGATACCGCGAACGGGAAGTACGGGAGGGAGCATGTCGATATCGTCGATATTAGGAGGTCCTCCTCCAGCCTCTCGTGAGCCAACTCCCGGCCATCCAGCTTCCTTCCAGCCTCCAGTTACTACTTCCGCCGTTTCAGGCCCGGCGTACGCTGCTCCAGTCCACGCGTCGCCTAGGATGCAGCCTGCAAATGAATACGCTGCCTACAATAGGAGACCCCAAACACCAGATCAAGGTAGACCTTTTGACGCGAGAGATCCTAGGGGTGCTGCAATTGGATCGCCGCCGCAGGGCATGTATGGAACTCCTGAATTGTCCCGATATAATACTCCCCAAGCGTATCCACCACGTGGTCCACCGATGCCGCCAGCCGATGATAGAAGAGAGCAGCCAGGCCGGATCTCCGCTACTAACTTACCTCCCAGACCGAGTAGCCAGCCAAGGCCTTATCATAGTATGCCTCCGAGACCTGCAGATGTAGGGAGGGGACCACCTCCCGGAGAACCTGTTTATGGTAGACGAGAGGACACGCGGCCTCCTGGCCCGGTGGGGTACGATCCCGAACGACAACCCCGAGCTATGCCATACGAAGAGCAGCGTCGATTCGCTGCGGATCGAGAAGCGGAATTTCAGGAGAGGGAGCGAAGAGAAAGGGAAAGAATGCACTACGAAGAGCAGCGCGCACTCGCGGTCAATAGAGAGCGGGAGATGGAGAGGGAGAGGGAAAGGGAGCGGGAAAGGGAGCGGGAAAGGGAACGGGAAAGAGAAAGGGAAAGGGAAAGAGAACGAGAAAGAGATAGGGAAATGGAAATGCGCGAAAGAGCTCGGAGGGAAAGAACTACATCTGACCCGAGTCGCCCACATGGCCAACACCCTGCTGAACTTGGTCCCCAGGTGCTTTCACGACAACCACCTTACGGGAGATCCGATCCCCGTGAGGCGGCAGCCTGGCAACGGCCTGGATATGATCAGGCACTGCCGAGAGAGCCCTACAGCCAGCAGTACTCTGCCCCCCGACCAAACGAGTTCCCTTCGACTACGGCAGCGCCGTACGGAACGCATCCTGCTTTTGCGCAACCTCATGAACGTTTCCCGACTACTGGACCGCCTCCTCATGTGATACCTGTAAGCCAACCCGGTTCGCAACCAACGCATCCCTTTGAGTCGCCTGATAGGCACCGTTTCATTCAGGCCCATCCCCAGCAGCAACCGCCGCCAGCGCCAACCCATAGAGGTAGGCCTGTCGAAGAGGTCCCGCCTCCACCTTCAGTGGCATATAACGGCGGACCAGGCTCTGTGTTTGAAGTGAATCGATCGCGCCCTCAGGACGACGGCCCTGCTCCAACCGGTCATCAGCGTGCTTTCCTCGGTATCCAGGAGATCAACCGCAAAGGACGAGTTTCTCCGCTGCCGCAAGCGGTTCAAGGAGCTCAACCTCAATTGCAAGGACCCGCCGGTGAGCCTGGGATCAAGAGTGAATTCGGCCGCATGTTCTCCGGCATAGGGAGCGGTGTTCGCGGTATCGGCGTCTCCAGCCCAGCGCCATCTGGCATGCAACCTCAGTTCTCAAACGCAGGCGCTCCTCGACGCGATGAGGAGAATTCTAGTCATGAATTACTTGCGGATGGCCCTGCGAAGCCGAAAGGGAAGCGGAGGAAAGCAAAAGACGATGATAGCAAAGGCGATGATGATAGTAATGGTCGAGCCACACCGGTTGGCCGAGCTAAACGCCCCAAAACCCACGCTCATCACCACCATCACCAGTAAGTCACAACACTCTCATACTCATGCGCTTCAACCGATATTCATTGTAATATTCTCTAGTCATCATCATCATCGCCATCATGGACCGGAAAGAGCCTCTTCGCCCCTTCAAGCGGCAAATGGACAGCTCAAAACCCTTAAAACTAACACGCCCATACCTTCTCCCACGCGCAAAGACTTCGCTGCGTTCACTCACCATCAACCTCCGAGGCCAGTGCCTGCCCCAGCTTCGAAGACGGCAGCGCCTGGACCGACTATTATCCCAAAACCGAAACATAAGATCTCGTCTCAGGCGGTGCTTGATAGTATCGCGGACCGACCACGAAAGCACCTGGGCGATGTCGTGTACCAGGTAACTTTGAAGCCTACGAAGTTGGAAGCATCCCATGCCAAATTTGGCTATGTGTCGAACCCGCGTCCTCTGCCCATGGACTTGATTAAGGGTAACGAAAATTCTACCCTGACTGTTAAGATCCCTCGTGTTCACCTGAGCCCGGCTGCTCGGGAGGAGATTACATCCCGCCGAGCTGTTTGGGGCACGGACATTTATACGGATGACTCTGATATTGTTGCTGCATGTATTCATGCTGGTTGGATTCGAGGTGAATGGGGCGAAGACGTTGATATCGACCTACTCGACCTTTATAAGCCCGCGACATCGAAGAAGCACCGTGCGACACCTGCTGAGCAACACCTCGAGGTATTAACTTCGCCTCCGGCCTCGGGTCCCGTTCGGGTGCCTGCAGACCGCGACTTACATGTGACTGTTCTTATTCTACCGGCACTTGAGAAATATAGTAGCTCAACGCGCTTCGGCATCCAGAGCCGCGAATTTGGAGGGACTTATAACGGACGTAAATCGATCCATGATGGGATCAGCTTTATGATTCTAAGCGTGCGCTGGGTAGACGGTGCGGCGCCACAAAGTAGGCTTCGCGGCAAGGCACGTAGGGAGCGAATCAGGAAAGCTATGAGCGAAGTCAATAGGAGCCAAGTGGTGGATATAGGGGGGAAGGAGATTCTCGGTAAGATGGCTATAACGAGGGATCCTAATGCTAGCAAAGACAAAAGCACTGGGAGAACAGCCGACGGTAGTAGAGACGGTAATAAGGAGAATCGTCCTAAAGCTGTGCTGAACAGCGGCGTTCTTGCACCGGGTCAAGAGAAACCCGATATAGTCACGAATCTGGACGGCAAGGATACGGAGACGAATCGGCCAACGGATGTCCAAAACGCAAAGACGATAGATGTTATTACTACTGCCGATTCCGGGGGAGAAACGGGGAAATGTGCGTTAGGCGAGCCTGCGGGTGTTTCTACGTAGCGTCGAGCCCGGATTATATGAATATTGGGGGATTGGAGGGATAGCTGGATTTGTATTAGCGGTTACACCGCGGGTATCTTTAAAGCTGAAGTCGAGGATGCAAGGTATAGGAGGGCATCTAGCACATCGTTGCTCTTCTTCCACATTCTGTCTTCTTGACGGTTTTCTACGACATCTTAGGTACTTCTCCAGTCGTTGTTGCCCCCCTTCCCCTTTTCACCTGTACAGCATAGCGCGGAGTTATGAACAAGAAAAGTGTACCGCGATAGAAAATACAATCAATCGTCTGATGTTGCGTTTCTGCAGCGGGGAGTAATTCTGTCATAAACCGTTGCATCCCAATGAAGTTGAGAGCTCTTGAAGCACATATTTTGGGCCCTGTATTTGATAAGGTCTTGAATTATCCAAAATTAAAACACCCTGGGCTCGTGCGAGATACTAGTCTAACTCAAAAACCCCAACTATGTAGTCTGCTATTTCCGGCTCGGTCTAATAAATTACTGATCTATATAAACCTTACTTTCACGACAAGATGCCTGCATGATCCTGCAATCTCTTGCCAACCGAACAGTCCAGATAGTCGCATGGCTCCGGACATACTCAAATATCGAGCTACTTAGCTCGGTCGTAATCGGAGCGAAGCGAAAGATGCGGAGATTTGGTGACGGCTGATCAACCTTGGATGGAAGGTTGGTGATAAGAACCGTATGCATAACCTCTACCTAAAAAGGGGCCCTAGAAGTCTGTAACACGTCCATTGAAACTGTAATCACCAGCAGGTCCCCAACGCAAAGGTTCGTTCTTGGGCCCGCCGACCTCTCCTGTCTTAGGATTCACGTCGCCTTCGAATTCAGGCGGCGCACCTTTCCGGAGCGGCACGGACGCAAAGTCGTCATCGATGGCCGGTGCGCTCTGACCCGCAGCGGAAGGGGGAGCACCCGTAGTAGAGGAGGTCGTGTGAAGGTGAGAGCCGAAGTCCGGGGATGAAGTCGGGTTGAAACCTTCCTGGGTGTTGGCGGTGCGCTGTAGCCGCTCGAATTCGGCTTGCTGGTCGGGCGGGAGACGGGGTGGTGAAGGCATGGATTGGAAGGGACTCGAGCCGTTGGAGGCTCGACGTTGGTGTTGTAGGGGAAGAAGCGCAGCTGTTTGAAGGTGGTGCGTGTGCCTGTACGTGTATGGATGGGAGGCTTGAGTGAGGCGGCTGAGGCGACTGAGGTGGGACGCCATCTTGAAGATCTTTGGTTCTTTTCTCCTTCTTCTTTTTCTTCTTCTTCTTCTTCTTCTTCTTCTATTTACCTTACCCCCTTGGAGTTTCAAGTAAATAATCGACCAGGTTTGAGAATATTATTTGTAACGCTGTGGCAATTAGAACTTATATGATGTAGAAGATAAAAAGTCAAGAGGTACGCATATAAAAGTATATATGAATGCATATATGTACTATATGCTTATAAGAGGGAAGATACGTCGACTTGGATCCGGATTTACTTCGGTATTGAATTTGTTCTTGGATTTCCTCATTTCTCTTTCGAAATTGCGGCTGATTGGGCTGGATCCTACTTTAAATGTTGCGAGCTTTTGCGACGGAATGTATACCTACGAGTTGTAAAAAGAATAACTAGTTCCTAAAAGGAGATCCAAGCAATGATAACTTGGGTATCGGTATAGAAGATAAATACATACTATACGAAAAAAGGCATATATTAATTGGTATGAACGAGCTCAGCAGGGATCGAACCTGCAATCTTCAGAGAGCGGAATGTCCGGAATATCCAGACGGAACCGAAATCTGACGCCTTACCATTAGGCCATGAACCCTATTCGCAATCCTATTGGTGCCGATGGATACTAACTTGTCAAACAAGTCTATATTCATTTTGGAAGATAATTCGATAATTCGTGCTAGATCGAATCGACACGGCCAGTGCGGGTGGGCCTCGGGCCTCTTGGCCTAACATGCGTTGGTCATCGTGAACCAAGTATATATTATCACAAAACCGTCAAACTACCACATACGACCATACGATCTGGAATATTCGGGATCCCGTCCGCTCTCCCATAGACAAGCCAGATACGGCTAGACTAGTAGTTGGGTCGGTGACGACCAGCGAATCCCTAGTGTTGTATGTTTCCGTTTTTTTCTTTTTTTCTTCTTTCTTTCTTTCTTGTGTTTTCCTTCCTTCATCTTTTATCTCGTCTTTCCTGGGGGAATATAAGTAACCTGTATGAAACATCTCCGTACTTGTCATAAATACTAGTTATATAATCGTAATAGTTATTAAAGGGATAATTACTGTACTATGCTGGCAGGATTTAGTTGCGTTCAATTTTTTATTATATGTACCGCTATTGTAGATATTGGGATGAATGGCTGCTAATGATAAAAAATGTGCTTTTGCATAAAGAGTGGGTATTTCTGTTTATTCGATTACCTGATGTACATAGTACGGAGTTCAAAGTGGCGTTTTATGACTCAGTCGATCTGGTTGGTCCCTTGCATTTTTTCTCCTTTTACAGTACTAGTGTACCTACCTAGGTATGTACAAGGAGATCGACCCACCGGTTCGGCAAGCGGCAGGCAAGGATAAAAAGTAGGTACTTGACCCTACACTAGGTAGGTACATGTACTGTACCTAATATACGTAACTTGTAGTGGGATGGCGGGGTTAAGATGGATGAAATGAATCACCCCTCCGGTTATCGCTTTAGGAAAATATCTGTAGCTATATGAAATTACTTAGCTGAATAAATACCTACCTTACCTACAAACTGTACCTATTTAGAAATATTGAAATACCTACCTCAAACGCTTACCCGTACCTAATTTGGAACATAACCCACCCATTTCCAAGGTACCAGCCCTCAAGAGTTCAAGAAATTCTTCCATTTTGACTCACAGACTCAACCTCGAACTGCCCTCATAAATATAAAGAGTCAAACTTTTATTACTACGAGTTCTTCCTTGTCTCTCGCTTTGTCCCCAAAGATCAATTGACTCGAGTTTGAGCAACATGGAGGCTCTTAAACAGACATTCAGACGCTGCAAGGCAGAGAAGAGGGTATGGCTTAATTTATTCTCTGCGCGTTTCTTGCGCCAATAACCAATAACTACCTATAACTACCTATACATATTCTATTTGGCTGATCACCACGTACAGGCTGCCTTGGTAACCTATGTCACTGCCGGTTACCCCAAACCAGAGGACACTCCTGATATCTTGATAGGAATGCAAAAAGGTGGTGCTGGTAAGTTGTGGCAAATCAGCTAGCTTGAGATAAAATTTCGAGGAAACGGCAACTAACAAAAATGTAGATGTTATCGAGCTCGGTGTGCCCTTTACAGACCCAATTGCCGATGGCCCGACGATCCAGACCGCAAACACCGTCGCTCTCGCCAATGGTGTCACTATCAAGTCTACCCTTGGCATGATTCGTGAGGCCAGGTCCAAGGGATTAACTGCCCCGGTCCTACTGATGGGCTACTACAACCCTCTGCTGAGTTACGGCGAAGACGAGCTTCTACGAGACTGCCAGGAGGCTGGCGTTAACGGCTTTATCGTCTGCGATCTCCCCCCTGAGGAGGCTGTTTCCTTCCGAAAACTATGCAGCAAGGGAGGTTTATCATATGTACCCTTGATTGCACCCGCGACCTCTGATACCCGTATGCGACTCCTATGCGCCCTGGCCGATTCTTTCATATATGTCGTATCCCGCATGGGTGTGACGGGGGCTCTGGGTACTCTCAATGCCAACTTGCCTAACTTGCTCGAGAGAGTAAAGAAGTATAGTGGCGATAAGCCAGCCGCCGTTGGATTTGGCGTATCGACGCGGGAGCACTTCCAATCCGTTGCTTCCATTGCCGATGGTGTTGTCATAGGTTCGCAAATAATCACTACTTTGCAGAAGGTTGAGGACGGCAACGGTGCCAAAGCTGTTGAGGAGTACTGCGCCTATGTAAGTGGGCGGACGACCCAGGAGACAACCCGAGAAGTTGGCGTAATTGAAGCTATCGGCGCAGCCAAAGAGCCCAGTGGCGATGACGTAACAGTCAACGGCGTGATCACGGAGCACGACGATGCTGCCTTAGTAGCTCAACTTGCTGCTCTTCATGGAAAGATTCCCGAACGGTTTGGCGAATTTGGTGGCCAGTACGTGCCCGAGTCGCTTATGGACTGTCTATCCCAGTTAGAGGAGGGCTTCAATGCCATAAAAGACGACCCTAAGTTTTGGGAGGAGTACAGGTCCTACTACCCGTGGATGGGCCGACCAGGCCAGCTACACTTAGCCGAACGGCTCACGGAACACGCTGGCGGCGCCAATATCTGGTTAAAGCGAGAAGACTTGAACCATACCGGATCTCACAAGATCAACAACGCCTTAGGGCAGCTTCTCTTGGCGAGACGGCTAGGAAAGAAAAAGATTATTGCCGAGACTGGTGCCGGACAGCACGGTGTCGCCACAGCCACAGTCTGCGCCAAGTTCGGCATGGAATGTACAGTTTTCATGGGTGCCGTAAGTCCCTCCCTTTTTAGTAGAATCTAGCATCCACTCGCAGTATAGCTTATAATTCGGTGCAGGAAGATGTCCGTCGTCAAGCGTTGAATGTGTTCCGAATGCGACTGCTCGGTGCCAAGGTCGTTGCCGTCGAAGCTGGCAGCAAAACTCTGCGAGACGCTGTCAACGAGGCGCTCCGCTACTGGGTCGTCAACCTCGAGGATACTCACTACATCATCGGATCGGCTATCGGCCCCCATCCCTTCCCTACAATTGTGAGAACTTTCCAGTCAGTTATTGGTAATGAGACGAAAGCGCAACTTTTAGAAAAGCGGGGGAAGTTGCCCGACGCTGTTGTGGCCTGCGTCGGCGGGGGGAGCAATGCTGTTGGCATGTTCTATCCCTTTTCTAATGATCCTAGCGTTAAACTTCTGGGAGTCGAAGCTGGTGGTGATGGTGTGAACACTAAGCGTCACTCGGCAACTTTGACGGGAGGCACCAAGGGTGTTCTACACGGCGTCAGGACGTACGTGCTACAAAATGAATTCGGACAGATCTTAGATACGCACTCAGTCTCAGCTGGTTTAGACTATCCTGGCGTTGGTCCCGAATTGTCGTCCTGGAAGGATTCGCAAAGGGCCAAATTTATTGCCGCTACTGATGCCGAAGCATTCATCGGCTTCAGACTCATGAGCCAGCTCGAAGGCATTATACCCGCGCTCGAATCAGCCCACGGAATTTACGGAGCTATTGAGCTAGCCAAGACAATGAAAAAGGATCAAGATATTGTCATATGTCTTAGTGGAAGGGGTGACAAGGACGTACAGAGTGTCGCAGAGGAGTTGCCTAAACTAGGTCCTCAGATCGGCTGGGATTTGCGCTTTTAAGGTATGAGGGTTATCTTGTAGGTTCAGTCGAGGACCGAAACTTTTGTGTAGATTTCTCAGACTCGGCGTTGGCTGGCGCAGGAGGTCGCTAAAAAGTGAAAGAAAAAAACATTACTTGATGATACATGGTATTGGGCCACAAATAGATGTGCATTTAGACGCATTTTGTACAAATACAAATTGATATACACAGTGTAATGCCGTATCTTCTGTATCTGATATCTTCACCTTTGTGCCGCGTGACCAACAAGCCTTTAGGCTGCTTTGTGCCTAGGTGCCTTTATCATCGCTTCTGGGCTTATCTTCTTCTATGGTGGACTCAGTGTTTCTGGGGGCTTCAGCGACCTCGCTGGTTTCACTGGTTTCACTGGTTTCCCTAGCTTCCCTAGCCTCTCCTATCGCCTCGCCATCTTCTTTGATGATTATATCCTCGTCATCCTTCACCTCGCCTATGACAAACTCATCACCACGCTCTAGCATGCCGTCAACTTCGCTCAACACAGCGTCAGATGTAACACCATCGGCAGCCAATTCGCCGGGAAGAGTTTCTTGACCCTCTTCCTTTGGGGGTAGGCCCAGAGCAGCGCGCTCACGGGCGAAACGCTCGCGTATGGCGGGAGTTTGCATGATCTTCCAACGGAGAGCCCAGCCAGCGGGACCTAGGTCCTTAATGCGGCGAGTCTTGGAGCCGAGGAGATACTCGTCGATGCCACCGAGGCGGTCTATCGTCTTAAGAACATTGGTCGTCAGACGGGTGCGCACAAAGGCCCCTAGGCTCGGCGACCAAAGGCGCTTGGTATGACGGTTGGGCAACCAGGAGGTACGAGACTTGTTGCCGTGATCGGGGGCTACCACGTTGCCGAACCGGATCTTGGATCCCGCGAACAGGCCCTCGTTAGCCTGCTTGTACGTCCGGAACCGGCCGTACGGGTACTCGGGCACCTGGTCCGCTGGCACGGTCAGGTGAGAAGGCTTTTGCCGGCGAAGAGGCGATGTGGTGCTGAGAGCGCGTGTTGTCGTCGTACTTGGTATTCTCTGGGAGGTGGTGGAAGAAATGTGGGATGTAATCGAGGAGATGCGGCACGACGACGGCGCCGAGAGTCGTATTGGCGCCATCTTGTCGGCCGATTACTTAGGTAGCAGGACTTATATGTGCAGAGCTACGTAATCACGGCGGCATGGATGTTCGATGGGAGGAGCCAGTGCCATTAGGGAATTTGGTGGTAGACGTTAGATATTGAGGTTGAAGATTTGCAAATACTTCTTTGGTTCAATATGTGCGAAATATGGGATATATACATAAGTATAATGGTGCTACCAGGGCATATGCGGGTATCAACGCTATCTAAGTTACGGTTAATTGAAGGAAGTGAAGTCATGTGGTCCCGCTCCATGTTCGCGATTATCTTATCCTTTTGATCAACCGCGGGGTTTCAC